GTTGAATGAATTCGGTTTGTTAAAAGTACCTTAAATAGCTCGTCCTTATACCACATCGTCTATGGTAGGCTAAATTTTCATGCATCGTTCAGGCATCGCTCAGAGTGGTCTTATGAAGAACCAGGTAAAGCGATGTCCAGTATTTCTAGCACAGATCTTCGCTTAAATGAAAGCGGTAATATCGGTACCAACCGAAGGTGAGTTGTTCTTTGTTACTTGGCAGCTTTTGCTTATAATTTTCCTCATTTACATATCAGCAATTATGTGCCAAGCACCAAACTAGATTAGCTTATGTAGTTTGATAATAGGCAGTTATTATACTACACACCCAGTTCCCTCACGATCTTTTCATTCAAGGTTTAATTAAGGCAGATCTATAAGTAATCTTCAACTGTACTGATAACCAATTGGAATGTTTATTTGGAGCTCAATGCTTTGCTTGGACTTACACAAGAGCTACGATCGCTTAGAAATGAAATATTTTTAGAAACCTCAGTATTGACGTCAATCTTTGTCAAGATGATGATGGTCGTGGTGCAATCCTTCCATTGAGTGATAGTCGCGTGCAAGGAGCAGAGCGATCTGAAATATCCGGAAAAAAGGTGAGTCTTACCCTTGTCATCGTTTTTAGAGTTATTATGTCATATATGGAAAACTTAGTTGGCCGTAAATTTTTTAGAAGCAAATACGCGGTAGCAAAATACTTGAGTGTCCTCTATGTTGTATGCGACAACCTTCTAGTAACTTCCCTCGCCTTATATGTTGCCAACATAGAAGTTGTCGTCTGTGCTTAATGCAGGTATGTTATCTTAAAGTGTAGTCAGTAAATTTTTCTCATTTTTTTATTAGTATGTCGAAATGGAGATAATGGAGAATCGTGTCGAAGTGTCTTGTCCAGAGTGTGCTGCCCATTTACACCCCTTAGATATAAAGTTAGTCACTTCCTTCCAAGGTAATGTTTCTCATTTTCGCTGAGCGTAATAAGTTTAGGAGCCTTGCTGGTGGGCGAACGGATTTGATAGAAAAGTATGAGCAGTTTAGTGTGCGACGATATCTGATGACAGAACCAGATGCACGTTGGTGTCCTGCTCCAGACTGCGGGTATAAATTTTTAACGTTCTTAATAAGTGGTCTGAGAAGCGATTAACCATAAATGAAATGTACTTTCTTGACTTATGAAGGAGGAAGCGAGCTTCAGTAATTGAGTGATAAATTTTTGATTTTTATGTTATGATAATAGTTTTCTCAATCAGAACGTTTTCTGTAGCTAGCTGCTTCTTTTGCTTGTTCAAGTAGCACTCATTTTTGGAAGTCAGCTTATCAGCAGTTTGAGCGGTTGTCATATACTTTATTTATCTCCTCTTGGTGTAACTGCGATGTATATTGCAGTTCAAAAATTTCAAGGACATTCTGCAAGCTTGCTTTGATTGAAATGCGCTCTTATTCCATTTAATTCGTGTACAATCTTTACGCATCGTTTTTGCGATTCAGCAAGTCTAATAATGGTGTTTTAAAAGATATTTCTCACTGTTGCGTCGCGATTAGCATGCTTGTCAAGTTATGAATGAGT